ATTGAAAATTGATGGTTTCCAATAATTTAGTAATTGCATCTACTATGTATGTACATAGTAATGAACTGTATTGTGGGTAGGAAGTTAAGTTACGTAATTATTGCACAACATGATAATTAAGAAATGAATTTATGGATTACTGCATCCATAAATTTTTGCATTCACTGAATTCACCGTTTGCCTTTCATACATATATTACTTTTTAACTGTAAGATTACTAGGCAATTTGAGTTCGATGAGCATAAAACAGTAGGGTGAAATGTGTCTCGTACATTGTCTTATCTAATTTAGAAAACTATTTCTCATCAGAAAAACCAATTCAAAAGGGACCCCTTTTAAATTTCAATAAAGGTGTTCTTCAATTACCCGATAGAGTATCTTGGAGACCAGAGATGTACAGCATTTTTAGGAAGGTAGTGAATCTTCTTTCACGATCAGCTTGCATCGTTTGCACCAAATCGCCAACCGGAAGAGGGAACATCACCCTATCTATCGAGTGTGCGACACCTTGAGGAATCTCGATGTCTCGTTTGTTCGGTGCCACTTTTGCTCCATTTATCGTTGTTACCTGCTTATAAAAACGAATAGAGCTGTATACCAATTAACATCGCCTAACGTTTTTCGTCGCAAAGATTGACTTTCTTAAGGAAAAATTCCTAGACCTTTTATGCTGGCAAGGGAACATCTCGAAGTGATAATCAGCGATATCGATGAAACTTTGGTATATGGTAGCACTCCAAAAAATATTTGACACGTATTTCTTTTTATTAGCAAACGTTCACATTGAAGGGGTGAAAATTTTCCTCAAAGATGATGGTAATAGACATATTTGGTCGAAATTATTTATTATTTTTCGTTTCTCAAATTTGTTGTTGAAAAAATAGAAAATTTGTCAATTTACACTATTCATCTATCTCTGATCATTTTCGAGATATTAGACTAACTATATTTACTATCTTCAACTTTGAAGGCGGTTTTCACCCTTTCACTCTGCGAATAATTTATAAAAATATTAACGAATATTTGCAAGTTAAATATGTGTGTAACATTTAGTGCCACTAAAATAAAAAGTGTTCCTTCGATTTTTCGTCGAACAGCGTCCACGTTTTAGTTAATAAAACATTGAACGAACTGTT